GAAAGGCGCCACTAACATTATGTGGAAGCCAAAGAGAAATAGGAAGAAAAGACACCATGACCCAGGAACGGTTTGGGGCAGAGATGGAAGCCATAGGACCAGGCCCCCACCTCACTCACTCCATTTCTGGGAGCGCTGCGCTAGCTTTGCTTAGAGATGGCTGAGTCTTTTCCCTGCCTCTCCCCTTGGCCTTCCCAGGCCAGTTCCCTCACAACGTCTCCTCTTGGCCTTTCGCATCCATGGGTTCCACATCCCTGGACTCAACAACCACAGATGGGAAATGCTAAGGGGTGAAGGAGAACTCCATCGTTATACGTACAGACATTTTTCTTATCATTAAACAATGATAAGAGATAAACAAGTGTCACAACCATGTATATTCTACTAGGTCTTCCACATCATTTGGAGATGATTTAAAGCACTCAGGGGCATGTGTGTAGGTTATATGCAAATACAGTGTCATCTTATACCAGGGACTTGAGCATCTGCAGGTCTGCAGGGCCCCTGGAACCATGTGCCCATGGTTCTGCGTTCCCACGGCCAGAACCTCCACTGCCCCAAGGCTGTCTCTGTTCCATCCCCTCTCCTCTTCCAGTACCATCCACTGTAGACCTGTTACGGCGCCTCTGCTGCCACCTCAGTCCCAATTCCTGTAGCTTCTGCCTTGTTCCACTGGACACTCTGTGTTGGAGACCAGTGTCAGCAAAATAAAGTCTAAGCCCCTATCCAGCCGCCTGAGGCCACATCACCCTAGAGTCCCGCCAGTGTAGGGGAAGGGCACCAAGCTCCTGCGGCCTTTTTCTTCCCACAGGTGGCCTGCATGCAGATGGCTTCTCAGGCTGGCCTGACCAGAGGGGCTTCTGACACCTGCCCCCACCCCAATGGGACACGATTGAGTGATGCTGAGTTGGTGGCCTCTTCCCACCAGGTGGAGGACTCAGGCTGGACCTAACCAACCGACTGCTTCCTCTCAGCCCCCTGAGTGGTGCTCAGAAGGACTTTCGAAAATGGAATCTGGGGCCTGGCGCTGTGGCTCACTTGGCTAATCCTCCACCTGCGGCATTGGCATCTCATGTGGGTGCCAGGTTCTAGTCCCGGCTGCTCCTTTTCCAGTCCAGCTCTCTGCTGTGGCCCAGGAGGGCAGTGGAGGATGGCCCAAGTATTTGGGCCCCTGCACCCACATGAGAGACCAGGTGTGGAAGACCAGGAGGAGGCACCTGGCTCCTGGCTTTGGGTCGGCGCAGCACCAGCCGTAGCGGCCATTTGGGGGGTGAACCAACAGAAGGAAGACCTTTTTCTCTGTCTCTCTCTCACTGTCTAACTCTATCTGTCAAAAAAAAAAAAAATGGAATCTGAAGTCAATAAGAGGATAAAATCAGCTCAGCACGTGGGAAGAGAGTCCATGGCCAAGAAAGCCGCATTACTCACAAGCACAATAGGAGATTCTCATTGAGAAGGGGCCCGAGGATCACTTGATTGGGAAGCACCACTTAAATACTGGCAGAAGTGGTTGATCAGTGATTGCTGCAGGCTCCACAGCACTCACAAAGGGACGTCTCCCTCTGGGATGGTGTCCGTGGGGGAGGCTTCTGAAGTCAAGTTGGAGCTAACTCTGCAGGAGCACATGCTTTGACTGCACGCCCCTTGGCACAGCGAGTAGAGCAACGACACTTGGAGACACAACACAGAACAGAGCCAGATGGTTCACAGCCCTGCCTCTGATCCTCTCGGTGGTAACCAAAGCACTGAACATGCTCTGCCCTGACGTGGAAGTCCTTTCCAAGGCTTCTCTGGTCTATCTCCATGCCAGCTTCTCATGATCCTTGTAATCTGTTCCTGGTCTCAGTGCCCTTACCCTGTCACGCAATCCCCTCACCCCTACAATCCTTTCCTGCATGGTCACATCTTTCCTTGTCGGCAGACTCCAGCCCGGGTCTCTTGCTCTCCTCGGGGAGGCCTCTCCAGACATGCATCCTGCATCCTCGGGCCAGGAGCCTGCCTAGGGTGTCACCCGACAGACACGCCCCAGGGTGCAGCTGGTTCCTATAGTGAGCTCTGGGTGGGACTCAACTTCGTCCTTCTTCCATCCCCAGGGCCCGGTAACATCAATTCCAGACTTTCCGAGACTGGAAGAATTTGACCTGCCTTCCAAAGAAACAATAAATAGAAATGGGGCACAGGGCTGGCTGTCCTCAAAACAGAAGCAAATGAAAAATGCTGACTGTTCCTGCAATAGAGAAGAAGGCAGCACCTGACAGGGAGCTGAGGAGCCTGCCCTTCTCCACACACAGCACCCACCCCTACCCCTCACACCACCAAGAACAACTCCACGGACCCGCCCCTTGTGGAAGGTCCGTTCTGTCACCAGGAGAGGGTTCAAGGAATTGACCTGGTGGCTGCAGGGTGTTGGGAAGCTTTTCCCGCGGACATGTGGAGGGCTGCACTGGGCCCTCTGGTGGGATACAGTGGAAGGGGAGGGGAACCTGGATGGGAGTGGTCCAATGGAAGTTGATGCTACAGACTTCCATGATGTGTTGCAAAGTCATGGACTCAAGAGAGCTGCTTTTAGAGGCCAGCCTCAATTTGCTGATCTGCAAGGAGATGGGGATAGTTGTTAAAAGGATCAGAGGATATGAAGGGCTGAGCACTTTCTCAATTGAAAAGAAATTACTCCTGAGGTCTGAGTATTTCTAAAAAGGAGGCTACAGGAGCAATGGGCTTGGCAGTGACAGCAAGTGGCATACATCTAAAGGCCTACTGGAGTCCCACAAGAGTTACGTCTAAAGGCCTACTGGATCCCACAAGGTTACGTCTAAAGGCCTACTGGATCCCACAACGGTTACGTCTAAAGGCCTACTGGATCCCACAGGGTTGCATCTAAAGGCCTACTGGATCCCACAAGGGTTACGTCTAAAGGCCTACTGGATCCCACAACGGTTACGTCTAAAGGCCTACTGGATCCCACAGGGTTGCATCTAAAGGCCTACTGGATCCCACAAGGGTTACGTCTAAAGGCCTACTGGAGTCCCACAGGGTTACGTCTAAAGGCCTACTGGAGTCCCACAAGGGTTACGTCTAAAGGCCTACTGGAGTCCCACAGAGTTACGTCTAAAGGCCTACTGGAGTCCCACAAGGGTTACGTCTAAAGGCCTACTGGAGTCCCACAAGGGTTACGTCTAAAGGCCTACTGGATCCCACAACGGTTATGTCTAAAGGCCTACTGGAGTCCCACAAGGGTTACGTCTAAAGGCCTACTGGATCCCACAAGGGTTACGTCTAAAGGCCTACTGGATCCCACAAGGGTTACGTCTAAAGGCCTACTGGATCCCACAAGGGTTGCGTCTAAAGGCCTACTGGATCACAAGGGTTACGTCTAAAGGCCTACTGGATCCCACAAGGGTTACGTCTAAAGGCCTACTGGAGTCCCACAGGGTTACGTCTAAAGGCCTTCTGGAGTCCCACAAGGGTTACGTGGTTGGGAGGACAGTCATCTGCTGCCTCGAATCTTCTCTGGGGACATTGAGGGCATTTGTGTAGGGGTGGCCCCTCCCTTCCCTGCTGAGGCTTCTGGTGAACAGCAGCCAGGAAACGCCACAGCCCTTGCCACCAAAATCACACTCCTGAGGATAAGTGGAGGGGCATTCCTCAAAGTGCAGGCCATCATGTAAGACTCACCTCCATTCTAATAAAACGCAGACTCCTAGACCCAGTCTCAGAGCTGCTGTAAAAACTTTGGAGAATGATTATTTTCAACGAGCTCGTCAAGAGATTCTTGGAGAAGTTTGAGAAGAACAAGCACAGGATATCAGAAAAGCTGTGCAGTGAGGATGACCTGGGTCAAATCCCAGTCCTGCCACCTTGTAGCTGTGTGACCCTAGGCAAATTACTTAACCTTTCTGATCCTCCGTGTACATCAACTAAGCATGAAACCCAATCACTGCAGTGTTGCTGGGAAGGCTGAAGGCACTGGAGAGCAGGGACAGGCATTCATGGTCTCCATCTAAGCCACCCTATGAGGCAGGAGCAACCATGACCGCTGTCTTTTAAAGGAACAACCAGAGTTCAGGAGTTTCCAAGGGTCCATGCGTGACGGGAGCCAGACATGGCGAATGTCATTCACTCAAAGGCCCATCTCTATCCCCACAGCACAGGTCAAGCAAGGTGAAACAGGAGGGCCAGACGGGCTGCACGTTGGGCGGAGGCTGTGCCTTGTGCCTCCTGGACACAGCTCCATGATGAGTCTACAGCCAAGTGGCTCTCTTGGGGAGAAGAGGCAGTGGCATCCTGGTCAGGACCAGCCTGAGGATGCAATGCTCCGGGGAAGCTCATGGAAAGAAAAAGCGAGAGACACCCATCGGAAGCTCCCCGGTACTAACCTTGACTGGGTTTGCAAGCCCCTCAAAGCCTCTTTGCAGCTGCAGGCAGGTTACTATTGAGAAAGCTAAATAGTCAGGGGCAGGGGCGGGACGGTGCCCATGTGTGTGGTCCCCTCAGAGGGCCGCATCCATGGACGGCTGCTGCTGGGATCCCCCCTGCCCTTCCATGGGATCCGTGCCTGGTACATCAGAACTTGGTGGCAGATTCACTTGGATGCCCCCTAGCCCAGGTGTTACCTAAGCCGGCGCTTTATTTACAAGTCTGTGTTGGATGTTAGACATCCCGGCCCGCACTGGCCAAACACGGAGGCAGGAACTTCAAGCGACCCGGTGCCTGGCGTTGAATTTCCCTCCTTTTGACTTGAGGCGGGACGGACCCGGAATGAGGACGCCCAGCTGCCGCCAGACTCCAGGCCTGGGATGTTTTGGCTCAAAAGTGGAGTCAGAGTGACAGTCGGAACGGGGGATCACCTCCCCGCCCCCCAAGCGCTCCAGGATCCGGGGCTCCCTGTCCGTCCTAAGGAGCGAACTCAGCGGCTCCATGCCTTCACCGCCCCCAGGGCCACCCCTGCCCGGTGCCACTCGCACGGCTGCCAGCACCAAGCTCCAGCCGGCCCGGCTCACCTGCTGAAGACCAGGCAGCCCAGGTGGTTGATCTCGTGGTCGGAGCGGTGGCGGCTGTAGTCCTCCCACAGGTCCTTGAAGGCCGTGACCGCCAGGATGAAGAGCACGGGCGCCAGCGCCAGGCCGGGCTGGAAGGCGTTCACGGCCGGCACGAAGTTGAGCAGCGCGATGAAGACGAAGTAGACGTTGGCCAGGCGGTGGAACTGCTCGAACAGGTTCTTGGGCAGGAAGGACAGCAGCGTGTACTTGGTGGTCTTCAGCCTGTTGTCGGCCAGGTGCTGGCCACACCCGCGCAGCCGCCGCCGCGGCCGCCGTTCGCCCTTGGCCGCACCCGCCGCGGAGTCCTCGGCGCCCGGGGGCGGCAGCAGGTTGGAGCGCACCGTGCGCGTCCTGCCCTCCCGGCGCCGCCGCCGCCGCCTCCGCCGCCTCCGCCGCCGCCACGGGAGCTCCGGCTCCTCGGCCGCCGCCGGCTCCCGCTCCATGGCCGCGTGTCGCCGCGCCCGGCTCCTCCGCCTCTCGCGCCAGCCTCCTAGGTGATCATCGCCGGCGGCCCGGGCGCGGCGGCGCGGGCTCCCCGCCTGCGGGACGCACGGAGAGCGCGGTCAGCGCCCCGCCCGCCCGGCCCGCGGCCAGCCCCACGCCGCCCGTCCGCAGTCCCGGCGGGGCGCAGGCGGGGCCCGGGAACCCGCCGCACAGAGCCCCCTTGTCCCGGCGCGCGCGCCCGCCCTCCCGCCGGCCCCGGCCGCTTCCGCCGCGGTGGCTCCCGGCCCCGCCTTCGCCTCGCGCCCAGACTACTCGGGCTCGCGGGATAGCGGGAAACGGAAAGCCGGAGCTGGAAACTTTAGAGATGTTTGGTTTCGTTTCCCAGAAGCATCAGTGCAGAACGCGGCAGAGCAGAAGCGCGCGCTCTTCCCGGACTAGCCCTGCTCCATCCCAGACCCGTCTAGGGGGCCCTGGGTCAGGACCCTCCTCTGGGAATCCCAAGGAGCCAAGACTCAAGGAGCCACGGGATACCAAGGCTCCCGCTGTCCGATCTGTTTCCTCAGAACTGGGCCTCTGGGGACATCCTGCCCAGCACAGCCCCTTGTGGTCGCCAGGACCTGCCCTACCCCTCTGCGCAGCCCCCACCCACCTTGAGATTCAAGGCTTGAGGGAAGTAGACTTTTTCCTTTCTGTGACCATCCCTGTCTTTCCTTATGCCCCCCTTCCCCTCCCAACGGAAGGGAAACAGATTCCGCTGTAGGGAACGCAGAGGTTTGGTGTGCGGGTATGTGGGACTCTCCCCTCTATGGCACGCCCCGAGGACCGGAACTTCCCTGTGCGCTGCAGTGCTGGGGAGGCGGCCACAGCCTAGACAGGGACTGGGGAGTTGAGGATGGTAGCAGAGAAGAGGCGAGAAGGACAGGAAGGCACTCCAGAGATACGGGACACAGGGACCGCCTTCTGAGTTATGGGGCATCGGAGTGAGGAGTTGTGAAAGGCCGGCTGTGGGGATTAGGTTGGGGTACTAGGAGCCGGGGGCGCCCAGGGCTGCAGTAGAACCTGCAGGGTGCAGGCAGCGCTGGGCTTTGCTCCGAGAGGAAGCAGGGGTTTCTTGCCCTGGAGGCTATGGCTTCAGGGTTGGGGAAAGGGGCTCTTCCTGGCTCTGCCTGTCTGGATTTGGGATGCTGTTAAGCCGTACTCCTCCAGGCCAGTCCCTCCTCTGTCTCCCTGCATTGAAAGATCTGTTATCTCCCGAAGAGACCACCTCAAGGGAGTCTGCTGACCCTGGTATCTTGTCTCCATTTGCTCAAATCACCTCTTCTCCCGCCCTGCTCTCTCAGTGACCCCTTCTGCATCCTGGCTCACAATCCTTCCAGCTATGCCAGCCTTGCTGCTGTCCACAGTGTTCACCAGCAGCCAGCAGCAGGTGGAAGGCAGAGTGACAGGTGCTGAGGAAATGATCTGTGCTAGGTTCAACACTATGCCCCCACCCCACCCAGCAGGTCCCGTGGCACCATTCTGAGGGGTGAAGGTCACCATCAGAGAAAGGCTTGGCTGAGCACCTGCCTTTAGGGAAAACACTCAGATCTCACTAGGAGCCAGCGGCATTCCAAACTGAGTACCAAGGACTCTTACAACTCCCCAGGTTTCCAGTGCTAGCTTCCACCCTTTCCCCCCTCATCCAACCCCATGAGGACATAAGGCCGGAGGATTCCCTCCATTTCCACAGCCACCAGAGACAGCCCAGGGGCGCCCTGAAGCTCTGGGTGGATCTTCCTGCCTCCCTGTGACCAGCGGCATACACATGTGTTGCCGGGAGTAACTGCTTGATCACTTCAGGTCCTTACCCTGGGGCTCCCGGGAGTCCCCCGATGCTTACAAGGTCAAAGGCTGACTCCTCAGGCGGAGGTCCCTTGAGGCCCTGGGGGGAACTGGCACCAACTTGCTGGTTTCTTTCCACCCCTTCCTAGTCCCAGCCCAGCCCCAGAGCAAGAGGTCTCCTTACCCTTCTCAGAACAGGCCTTGCTCATCCCTTCAACATTCCGCTGTGAGGTTCCAAGATTCTGTGAGTCACACTGCTTCCTAAGTCTGGAATCTTTCCCTTCCTGCTCTTCACCAATCCAAATTCAGTATTTCCAGTAAGGCCTAGCTCAGCTCCCCTCCAGAAAGGTCTCCACACACTGAGTGCTGGCTGGGATCCAGCAGATCTTCTAAGTTTTTTGAGTGTGGTGACTTGTCTGTGAAACACCCAGATTCCTGATTGCCCGGGCTGGCATAGGCTGGCCACCTGGACCACTGTGCTCTAAGGTTGACCGGGATACGGAGCCTCATTATCCTTATTCACTACCTGCTGCTTGCGCAGCCCTGTTCTGGGCACTGGGAACACAAGGGAGAATTGTGGAGGACAACAGATTCTCACGGTGCTGGTGTTCCAGGAGGAAGAGGCAGCCACGAAATAAGAAATCTTGAAACCCTGCCGAGAGTTGTGAATGGGGCCCCACAGGGTGATGGGGGGGGGGGGGCGGCTCTTCAATAGGGGAGACGTGAGTAGAACCTGGATGAGGTCAGATGCATGGAAAAACCTTTCTGGCAGAAGGAGCAGCTCTGTAACAGGCCCCAAAGCTCAAGAAGCAGGTGAGCCTGGCGTTCATTCAGAAACCTTTCCCCATGGCCTCTCGCAATAAGTGGCGAGCACTGGAGAATCACCACCAACTCCCTGCTGTGTGGCTGCTAAGTTCTTGTGTAGGAATCCTGACAGGGACACAGGAAATGAGGAGAGGGGAAGGGGCAGTCTTAGAGCTAGCAGCACTGAACTTGGGAGAGGATCTGAGATGTGAAAAAAGAGGGCAGCTGAGGAAGACTGTGAAGCTGAACACTCACATTGTCATCTGCTGCGATGGAAGGGTGTGGGGCAGAACTGGGGTTCTCACTACCCCTTCTGAGCATGGGTCAGGCAGGCAGGGTGCATGAATCAGATCAGAGCAGAGACTCAAATGGAGCTGTCCGTCTGGAGGCAGGAGCAGGTGTGGGTGGAGGAGAAAAAGCGGGAAGTTGCAGGTGGCCAGTGAGCAGGGCTGTACTGGCCTTTGGAAGGGACAGGCTTCTGGATCTGTTCCAAGTGCGCCAGGAAGCCTTAGAGTGCTGCAAGCAGAGAGATGAGAGGAGAGCTACTGATTTTCCCATTAAGCACAGCGGGAGCAAGAGAGGAGATGAATTACGAGGTGTTTAGATGGAGTGGTAGACAGGCAGGTGTGGACAAACTGGGGCTACAGTCCGTCTTCCAAATTGGCAGGTTTCACTTCCAAGGGTTCTGCATCCTCCAGTCCGCCAACCTTGAGTAGAAAATATTTGGGAAGAAAAACAACTTTTGTGCCAAACATGCACAAATTTTTTTTTTCTTGTCGTTAAGCATTAAGCAATACAGTGTAACAACTATTTTTACCGTATTTACATTGAATTAGTATTATAAGTAATCTAGAGAGGATTTAAAGTAAGTGTGGAATATATGCAGATGTAAGGCATGTAAGTATCCAGTGAGTTTGATAAGCAGAAGATCCTAGAGCCAGTTTCCCACGGACCCTGGGGCATGACTCCATGTCTTCAGGTGGAGCCTACAGGATTGGCCAATGGGTTGGATGTTTGTAAGAGAAAAGAAATTGAATCAAGATAGTCATCAAGGTGTGGTTATTTAGCATGGCAGTGAAGATATGCTCCTCATACATCAGAGGACCTGGGTTCTATTCCTGGCTCTGGCTCCTGACTCCAGTTTCCTGATAATGCAGACCCTGGGAGATTGCAGTGATGGCTCAAGTAGTTGGGTTCTTGCCACCCACTTGGGAGACCTGGATTGAGATCTCTGCTCCTAGCTTGGCCATTGCAGTCAATTAGCAAGTAAACCAGCAGATGAGATGTGTGTGTGTGTGTGTGTGTGTGTGTGTGTGTTTGTCTGTCTCCCTGCCTCTCAAACAATGGAATTAAAAAAAAGAAACCACATATTAAGAGTGGCATCCAAAATGTTTAGTCAATGACTTGGACAAGAACATTTTGAAGGAGAAAATACATGGTTTGGGGTAAGATGATAGTGATATGTCAATTCAGCGTGAGGCAGGAGTGGTAAGTAAGCAAGGGATATTAAAGTTTGGATAAGGAGGGCGGGCGCCGCGGCTCACTAGGCTAATCCTCCGCCTTGCGGCGCTGGCACACCGGGTTCTAGTCCCGGTCGGGGCACCGGATTCTGTCCCGGTTGCCCCTCTTCCAGGCCAGCTCTCTGCTGGCCAGGGAGTGCAGTGGAGGATGGCCCAAGTATTTGGGCCCTGCACCCCATGGGAGTCCAGGATAAGTACCTGGTACCTGGTTCCTGCCATCGGATCCGCGTGGTGCGCCGGCCGCAGCGCGCCGGCCGCGGCGGCCATTGGAGGGTGAACCAACAGCAAAGGAAGACCTTTCTCTCTGTCTCTCTCTCTCTCACTGTCCACTCTGCCTGTCTAAAAAATAAATAAAAAATAAATAAATAAATAAACTTAAAAAAAAAAGTTTGGATAAGGAGAGTAAGTCAGCACTGGAGACACAAGAATGAGTGACATCAGGAGACACATGTGAGTCAGAGCTGAGTGATGGGAAGTTTGCACCTGAGATAGAAGAGAAATTGAGTGCAGAGAAGAGACTCTGGGTATTGCCTCCTCCCTGAGAAATGGAGTGAATTGGATGAGATAACCATCCAGGTTGCTTCCAGTTTTCCTGTTCCAAGAAGCAGCACCTTCGATGATTGAGGCTTGCCTCATAACCTTGAACGGAATACGCGAGGATCAGAATTTGTGTAATATTAACTCGTGCAATTACCCTTAAACAAAAATGTGATATTCTGAAAGTTGCACTGTGGAAAAATAGGCACAGATGCTATCCATTAAGTAATATGGTCTTAATGTTTCTACAAAAATATCAGAGCTGGGCTGTCTCTGTGGTATTATAGGCTAATCCTCTGCCTGTGGTGCCAGCATCCCATGAGGGCGCAGGTTCGTATTCCAGCTGCTCCTCCTCTTCTGATCCAGCTCTCTGCTATGGCCTGGGAGAGCAAGAGAGGATGACCCAAGCACTTGGGCCCCTGCACCCACATGGGAGACTCGGAAGAAGCTCCTGGCTCCTGGCTCCTGGCTTATGGATGGGCCCAGCTCTGGCCATTGCTGCCATCTGGGGAGTGAACCAGCGGATGGAAGGCCTTTCTCTCTGTCTCTCCCTTACTCTATCTCTCAAATAAATAAGTAAATATATTTTAAAAATATCATGGAGCTGTGGAAAATTAGATAAAAGTAATTGACTAATGACTTTATAAATCCATCTGTGATAATGTACTTAGTCCCCAAATATGAAATCCTGCAGAGATAAGTACAGATTTTTATGGAAAATGACCACTTGGGCACATTTGTTATCCTTTTCTCCAAACTAAATTCCTGTCACAAACATAGATGATACTGTTTTTAAGCATAAATGTATAGTTGTGCTGAGCAAGTGGAGAAAGCGTCTTTAGAGGATGATAAAATATATTATCAGAAGTGACCGTTTGGCACAAGCGTTAAGATGTCCACATCCAAAATGGAGTGCCCGTCTAAGACCTAGATCTGTTTCCTATTCCAGCTTCCTGCTAATACAAACCCTGGGAAGAAGCCAGTGATGGCTCAAGTACTTCTGTTCCAGCCCCTCCTGTGGGGAGACCCAGACTGAGTTTCCAGCTTTGGTTGGCTCACCCCTGGTTGCTGGAGGTATTTGGGGAGTGAATCAGCAACAGGAAAATCTCTCTCTCTCTCTCTCTCTCCCCCCCCCCTTTCAAATAAGTCTAAAGAAAAATATTAAAAAGAAGATACTGAAGAATATCAGAAAGATTAAAAGCTGAGGAGAGTGGATTATAGGGCATCTAACAGATAAAGCACAGTATCTGCGTGTTCCATAGACAGTGTAACAACTGTTTACACAGCATTTATCTTGTGTGAAGTATTAGTCACCTGGAGAGGATACTCATAGGTTACATGCAAATCCTATGCCATTTTATATTAGGGAAGTGGGTATCTATGGATTTGGGTATCCTCAGGAGAAGGGGTGGGGAAAGACACTGGGGGCAGGGGATTTTGGAGCCAACCCCATCATGGAGACTGAGGGGAGACTGTACATTATAGACTTACTTTGACAAAGATCCCATAAAAAAGTGAATCTTTCAGAAGATTCCTGGAGAAGTCTCAAAATCTGAAGGAACAAGCCCGGGGGCCTGAACTATTCTAGGGCAGCTGACCAAATAATGAAGCCACTTTGCTTCTCCAGGCCACTCCAGGACCCATGCTGCTTGTTCTGACTGATCGTGTTCAAGGTTGGCTGCTCATAGCTTTGCTTGATGTGGAGTTTGCTTTTTACCAAACCTGTGGTGACATCCAGGCCCTGCTCTAGACCAATGATACACAAGGACCAGGCCCTAACACTCATGTTACCTGAAAACTTCTTGGGAGATTATAATGTACTTTAGGAACTTCTAGTCTATATCTGCTTAGCTATGTATGAATCTGTCCTACAAGCAAGAGTCACCAGTTTTGAAATGAGAAAAAGAAAGCAAACTCCACATGAGTTTTTTCTTGGAGAAAAAAGAAATGCTACAGAGCACAGACAATAGCATTAAGAATCATCATTGTCCCTAGAAAGATTCAGCAGCCAACACATCCATAAGAACGTCATGGGAAAAAGTGAATGAGGAACAGTTAAGAATCCTTGGAAATAAAAATCAGCAGGTAACACATTTTTTAAAAGATTTATTTATGTATTTGTAAGTCAGAGTTACAGGGAGACAAGGAGAGGAGAGAGAGCTCTTCCATTCACTGGTTCACCCCCAGATGGCTGCAATGGCCAGGATTGGGCCAGGCTGAAGCCAGGAGCCAGGAGCTTCTTCCAGATCTCCCTTGCGGGTAGTAGGTGCCCAAGCATGTGGGCATCTTCTGCTGCTTTTCCCAGGCCATTAGC